TCAGCAGGAGTTGTGGATATTTTGTGCTTGTGAAAATCGGGTCAGGAGGATGCTTCCACGTGTCTCCATGTGGAGGAGTTCTGCAAAGCCTCCAGCTCTGTTTGAACACTGTTCACTGAGGGAGATTTCACCTGAGAACATGACTGGATTTGAGTGGACAAAAAGTAACAGTGTGGACATATTGCTGATTTCTGTTCTATTTTTCAGGATTCACAGGATTTGCTAACCGGCTCACAATTTAACTTCAGCATCTACAAATACAAACGTTACCGGTGGCAGAAACGAATTTTGCAGGTAACTTTTAAAAATTCTCCCTTTTGAAGAAATACTGAAAAAATATAGGATGCTTATGTTGCTCAATAAATGTTATGAGATAGCTTAATGCATCCTGTGGTTCAGCGACCTATCGGAGAGGTACAAGATATTGACCAACTTTCTACGTTTTACACCAAAAGTATCCTGGAGGTAATACCTGAAATACCTGAAAATCCCTCTACTGAGCCCCTGGCAGGGCTGTAGAATGGACTTGATGATCTAAGAGGTTATTTCACCTCTAAAAAACATGATTCACCACACAGATGATTGATTATAATAGGCTGTGCCTGGGAGATGTTCTTCTTAGTTAGCAACAGTAAGGGCATACAAGTGCTGTAGACATACTTAAGTATCTGTCCCTTTTGACGGGACATCGCTTCAGCTGCAACCTCTAAAGCCTGGGGAAGCCATGTCCCTGGGGATATGCAGAAGGTTCCTTTGGCAGGCTATGCATTTCGTCTCTGGTTACTCTGTCCTGTGCGTTCTTTTTCTGACGTTATGAACCCTTAAGGCTTTCTTGACTTGCTGTGTCATGACGGGACGATGCTTGAACGATATTAAAGCAAACTTCCATTGATAACACTTGATGCTGATTTCCCGTTTCCATGAAGCCAGTGACAAAGTTTTCATGTTGTTTCCAGGAACCTGGATTTCACTGAATTTTTCATGCAGTTTGGGCAAAATTTGATAATGAGCAAGTCCAAGTCATACATGCTAGAAGGTGTATTTTTGTTTACTACATCTCAATTGCAGAAAGTATAATCTCCTTATTTCCCCCAGTATCCACAGGTTTTTGGAATTAAAAGATTATTTGTTTAGACATAAAGCTGATGGAAAAATGGAGAAAGCTATATTAGATGTGGAAGTTATAAATTTGGGCATCTGGAGTAGTTTAATTCCAGTTCTCTAGTTACCGGCAGCCTTCAGAAGTCAGAAATAATAACGAGAATGGTTCTGCTTTGGAGTTGTCCTGCTATAAACAGAACGGAGGGAAAAGCTGTGGTGTTAACTTTTGGTTGGTGTGGTCTGTGCTATAGGAATGAAAGGTGCCAAGAATCATTTATGACCAAAGGTAAATATCTAACTCGGGCGGGATCTGAGACTCTTCTGAGTTTGCCTTCTCTGTGGGCTGTGTGCACTGAAGCTGGGCAGTCAGATAATATTCACATCTGACTGTATCAGCAAGGCTGTTTCTGCTCGGCAGGGATTGACGCACAGAACAGATACTGGTATCTGTCTGTACCAGTTTTTAACACTGTAAATACAGATTGTGCAGTGGAAGAAGAATAATCTTATTTTGAAGCAAACAATTTTTAATTGTTATACCTGTGAAACGGCAATAAAATAACTGTATTTGCTATAAACACTCCCTTCACCTATATGTACACATATATGTGTATATATACATACAGACAAAAAATCTGTGTTAGATAAGACCTAAACCGAAACACAGTAATATTTATATCAGACAGTAATCTCTCAGTAGTATCCTTTTTTCCTGACACAGAAGCGGCTGTTATAAAAATAACCACCTTCACTTCCTTTTTAGTACTGGGGCACAGGTTGAACCAGTTGGTAATTGAATCTCTGCTGAGATGGTCATGCCATTAGTTTGTGCTACCACTACTGCTGAACGGGAAGTTTTTGCACTGGGTTTTATAAGACAAGGAGAAGTTAAAAAGAAATAATATTTCAGCGTGATAAATTGATGCATATTCACCAAAAGAGATGGGGAAACACAGTTACAATGAATATCTGTTTGTTTTGTAACTAAAACAAATACAGTACAGTATCTTGATGATGGAATGTCATTTTTTATTCTATTCGTTGGCAAGATAGATACATATTCTAAGTTGGTCCTTTATCTAAAATGCCCTTGCATGGTAATATTGGGGATGCTGTCTTTCCCTTTCAATGAAGAGAAGTGATGGAGTCAAGTAATGAAGAACTTTCTTTTCCAGATTGATTTCAACACAAAGACCATTTTTAACATTGAGAAAGGAATTATTAAGAAGCAGTTCCCTTTCTCACAAGTCAAAGCCTGTGAAGATACTGAAAGGAGGCGCTTCAGCATTGTGTTTCATGGGCGACAAGATTATGAGCTGGAAGCAGTATCTCTTGATGATAAAAGGAAGGTAAGTTTTTACAATGACATAGACAGATTGCTATAAATAACAGCTAATGTTATGGTAGTACCCAGCAGGTTCCAATCATAAATGGGAATTGTTATGCTGTGCACTGTGCAAGCAAAGAGGTAGGGATGTCTTTATTCCGTGTATGTTCATACATAGAACAAAGGGAATGTGAGTTCAGGATGAAGTTTGGCCTTAGGATTCTGCCACAGTTCGTGAGGACTGAAGATGTAAATCGAGCTCAAGATGTGATATGAAAGTGTGTGTGTTTCTTCAACTACACTGTGAATGTAACTCCTCTGAGATTGCATTAAAACAAGCAAACAAAACTGAAAACATGCGCAGATGAATCTTAACTGAAATTTTCTAAGCAGGTTTTTTTTCCTATATATTTATTAAAATGCCTACTTTTAAGAAGAATGAATGAGGCCATCCTGATGCCGTGAAAAGAAAAAGACCTTGAAATTCATCTTTACTATCAAAATACACTGAAATTATAAAATTATCAGAGGAAGACAACGTAGGTACAACTAGATATTTGTTTGATTAAAATGATCGAGTGTTGCAAGATTATGTGTGAGCTGTTTCATTTTAAGGTCTTGCCTCCTTTTGAGTTCTAGGTTCAATTAAATATTCCAAGTAGTTAGCATAAATAGACTCTACACTGAAACTTGAGAAACTCAAGTTGTGACATTAGCACTAGCTTTTCACGTGAATGCAGGTATCCTGTGTGTTCAGGGGGCATCAGGTCTTGGAGTTTGTGTTATCCCACTGCTGAGATGCTGAAGCCAGCTGAATGGTGTACGTTGAGATAGAAACTCTCAAAAAGCATGGAAGACTTTGCATCCAAAATTCTGATGTGACCCATTTTTAAGGGGCTTTTTGCAGAGGGATTCATCCCTCCTGAAACTTAATGGTTCACTCCATATGCAGAAACTTGTATTCCACATGAACAGTACCTCATGGTTGATTAGCTAAATTTATAGATTACACTTAGCAGAACAGCTCAAAAAAAGCACATGTATTCTGTAGTAAGAACACCCTCATATGGCCCTGTACACCAAAAGAGTGCTTTAAATTCACATCCACCTTAATCCGTGCTATTTTCAACCGTAGGCAAGCCTTCATTTTTCTACTGGGTTCATTTGAGATTTCAAGTTAAATCAATCAATTACTACTTGAGCTTGAACTGAACTGAACAGTAACATTGTCCTACGTTGCTTTATATATGAATTAAGAGTAAAACTATGTTTTACAGTCACTCCTGTAAAATGAAGTTATATTCTCCTTACGCTGATAGGTTTAGAACTATGGGCATAAAACCAAATTGCAGTTAAGTCGTTTAGCATCATAGAAAGACCCTATTTATTTTACTTTAATTTATGTTGCCTATTTGGCTGCTGCTTATAGTGTTGTCTATCATTTTTATACTTGAAAAATTCACCTATTAAGGTCTTATTCAAGGGAATTAACATGGCAAATATACTCTCTCTGCTGCCACTTATTATATAGATAACATACCTTCTGAGCAGGGTTATACAGAGCAATTCATTCAAGAGACCAGCAGAGTCCTGCTCTGGAAGACCTGCAGAATGTGACGTGATACATGAAGGACTGCTGGATTTGCAGCAAAACACTTTTACATCCACTGAATGGGTGAAGTACGAACTGCATTTTCATAGACCTCTGGGTTGTGGATTTTGTTAAAATTTCTGAGAAATGCTTTAAGATTTTAATTTGCTGTTAACAAGTTAATTAGTTAGTTGCTTTTAAGGTTAAAACTTAGGTGCCAAATTTGCATGAGATGAAAATGTTGAAATGAACGGTTAGTGCAATAGTGGTGCCCAACAAAAGGAAGTCCTGATGTGTGCTAGAGACGGCTATGTGCATCGCTAACACAAATACATAACGTTGATGGTGCTCAGAGTGATTTTAATGGTGGGACTTATCTATGTTTATCTCTTTCCTTTTTACTCCATTTTCAGTCATAAATAAAAGGAGAAAAAGACTGGCAAAGCCGATAAGGACTATAGGAGTCCTGCTAGAGAGCACTGACTCACACTGGCCAAATGGCTGACCCAAAATTCTTAATTCATTCTCATAATGTTCTGAACTTCCCTCCTGTGGGTGACCGACCGTGTGGTGGTGGCTTCAGAGAGAGGAATCGTTATTCAGTAGGAAATGGACTGTCACCACCATTTCGTTCAGCCCCTAAGCCATCACAGATAAGCATGACTTCTGCTTCTGCTTATTCTATTACTGAACTAGTGAACCAGCCACAATGATTTTAAATAGTTTGCTACTCATCCTACAGACAACCCACCCTTCCCCTGAGCCAGCTTCTAAAATACCTAGAAATTGCTTATCCTATCAAAGGAGAGAAAGAGAAAAAAAATTTGTCTACCAAAAACTGATGAAAAAAAAATTAACATTGTAATTATCTGCACAGGGCAATTATCTCCAAAGACTTCACAGTTCACAGAAAATTGTTTTAATTGTTTTTAAAAGGTTACCACTTGATGTCTTGTAAACACTATCCTCAAGTGTGTCCCAGGATTTGTTACCTTGCAACATTTAACAAGTTTGTTAACAAAAAAAAATTGATTTTTATTTATCTTGTGAAACAAAGCCTTTGCTGCTTTCTTCTTGGTATTAATCCTCTCTTTTTTTTGGCAAAGTAAATAATGGTGGAAACATCTGGAGATCTGATTAAACTATAAGTCCCTGCTTTAAAGAAAAGAGAGATCAATATAACTGCCAGCTCCATTAAACAATTCTTATCACTTTGACTGTTTATGTGGGAATAGATGCAATTTATATTTTATGTTTAATTCTTCTGGAGCAGCTAAACTTATTTAAATTCCTCATAGAACACCTTAATCAACTAGCCACACCTTGAAGAGAGAGTGGAGGAAAAGAAAGGTCTGATAGAACTGTCAGAATGATAAAGAAATGCAGTAACCCTAAAGAAAAATGAGAATGCAAATGCTTAAATAAGAATAAAAACCACATACAGTAAAGCCCCACTTGTTGTCGAATGTGAATGTGGGGCCTTTGTTAGAAGCAGCAGAGCTGCGTATGGGCAGGCAATGTGTGCCGGGATTAATTTATCATTTAAATAGGTAATACCCACGCTTTGGCACAGTCGTTTCTGGTGGAAGCCCTTGAGAGCAGAATACTTGACCCCTTCCTGCCAAGTGACTTGTGGGAATGAGGGGGGACCAGGGTCAGTCCTCATGGCGTAAGAGCATGTGCTGAGCCTTTTCCGAGAGAGAGAGAGTTTTTGGACTGTAAGTTGGGCCCTAACTTATATATGGTGACTTGTTTATAGCTTTGTGGCAGTAAAACCTGGAAGACACAGAAACTCTAAAGCCTCGACATATCAGGCACAGCTCAGTCACGCAGTGAATTCCTGTAAAAGCTCATAGTCCAAAAGACCCACCAACATGGGAATAAACAAAGTGGGAGGGACAGAGTGTAGCTAACAAATTAACAGGGCTTGTGTGATTTTTAGCTGATAGTTCTTAGTTTTAGCACTTTCATCAGGTGTGGTAGGCTGGAAGTTCAGATTTTATGTCACAGTTTACTTACGTATCGGATGAGAATAAGAATCCCTTATCTCAAAGGTTTTATGCTTTAGTATTGATGCTTTTTGACTGTTCCACGGAAGATGCTATAAAAATGTTGTGACTTATTTACATTAGAAAATGCTTTAAGAAAGGCAAGGCTTGTGTAAATAAGTAGTCAGTGAAGAATGAACTGTATCTCCATTCCTTGTCCTTCAGGTACTTGGTACAACTACGTGAAGGAGAATTGACTTTATATTGCATAGGCCCGGGAGGAAAGAACAAGGCTGCAGACCCCGTAACAAATACAATTAATTTGTCAGGTGGTAATGTGAGTGTCAGCGAGGAGAATGGATGCAGTACCTTTTCAGTTCAGACCAAAGAACGCAATTATTTGTAAGTATAGTGGGTAATTAATAATTTGTTAAAGCAGAATGACTGAAAACAAGGTCAAGCAACAGAGAATCTCAATGTCCCAGAACAAAATACAACAGCGGAGAAACGAGGCCGTCAGAATCATACAGATTACCCCTGCCATTGCTCCACAGTGATGCGTTGAGTATTTTAAGGAGGAATCAAAAGTACCACGTTGTGGAATTGAGAAGATATATTGAAATACTGCCCACAAAGACTTGTCTAGTTGTCGTGTCAGGAGCCAGTGAAGAGATATATCATTCAGCTTGGTAGGATGGATATGTGAACAGGTTCTGACTAGCTTGTGCAACAAGCACAGTAAGACATAGCGCATTGTTCACCTTCCCCCAAGGTGAGGAAGAGGAATTATGAGGTAACTGCACCACAAAGTCAATATATGGCAAAACTTCAGCTCTCTAACCTTAGACACGTAAGCAATTAACTCTGTCTGAAAAGGTCAGAGTCAGCAGCACTGGCTCCTTTGACAAGTAAAGCTGCTGAACATCATTCTGCTTAAATAAGAAATATCTGTGGCTGTATTAGTCAGCATGTTATTTACACTTCCTTGCGCTTATATATGACATTCTTAAATTTCAGGTTTCGAATACCTTTTACGGTCCAAACTAGCAGGACTGAGGATGTTAGCAAGCTCCAGAATGAATGGGTGTCTCTCATAGCAAGGTACTGTCAGCTGGGCAAGGGTGCCTCGCTGCCTCGGGAGGGATCTCAAGGAGGCACCTCCCCTGAAGCCGATTATGTGGATTTTACTGTACCTCCAAATGAACCAAAAGAGGAGGCCCTCCACTTTGGTGGGAGTTCTGCAACAACCAGTCTGAACAAGTCTTCAAGCCCCCAGACAAAGCCTGCAGAGGCAGACACAGCCCCAGCATCACTGTCTCTTCCGCTTCCCATGAGTAAGGCAGAGGTACCACCAGCCCCACCTGTGCTCCCACAGCCCTACAGCCTCTCTGCACTGACAAAGAGGACCAAAGCCTTTCACTGGGATGTTGTTCCTTGTGATAAGGTAAGGATGAAAGTGATGGTAGCTGTTAAAGAAAAAAAAAAAAGGAGCCTGTATTACATGTCTAGTTATCATAAAAGTACAGCTGTGCCACAAAACAACCTAGATGCCCTTCTGTATGTTTGGATGCAACAAAGTGGCTCTGTGCTTTTGGCTTTTTGTTTACCCTGTCACTCCTGTATTTTTAGATTCAGAAATCTGTCTGGGGATCATGTGACCCATGCAAGAAAAAAATAGATGTAACCAGACTCTGTGATCAGTTCCAGATCCAGGACATGGCAGTATTTTTGGGCAATGAACCTTCAGTGAATCAGCACATCATGTTAGATCGAAAAGTTGCACATAACTTCAGTAAGTGTATTAATAAAGAACTTTGTCTGGAAGACTGGGGTGGGAACTGCATGCATTTTCTATTGATACTTTCTGCCATTCATTGGCAAAGGAGAGAAGCTTGTGTCTAAATCATCTTTTAATTCAGTGCCCTTCTACTTATTTACAAAAATAGACCTTGTGTCTCAGTTGCCCTAAATGTGGTTTTTAATGATGTAGAGTAGAAGCACCAAGCTTCTCCTCCTCTTGTACAAAACTTGTGGATGTGCCATTGAGCTGTGATGCTGTTGTCTTAGGGCAGGCATGTGAAATCCTGTATGATGCCTGTGAAATCAATATTAAGATTCTGACTTCAAAGACTTTTCAAATTTTGTGTACTGTCCAGGTGAAACACGTCAACAGAAATAGCTTGGTAGCTAGAACTTTGAATACTGTGCTCAGTCTCTCTTCTACCTGGAGTTCAAGAATATTCATGTAGGTGTAGATGGGTTGGTGTAAGAAGCCTTTGAGACAGCTACAAGCCAGGTCGCAGGAACTCTCTTGGCCTTTCTCTGGGCAATAGCTTAGGCAGTGAACATCTGTGTTGAACGATCATGACGAGGATCCTTCCCTCTCATATCCCAGGTATGATTCTGCCAAAGGCCTGACCTAGAACAGTCTTCCACAGCTAATGAAGCAGTTCAGTATATAGTTCTGGTCTTACTAATAAAATGATATAAAGGTCTTTCAATTACTTTGAGAAGGACCTAGAGTAATTGTTCTTCAGGTAATCGTTCTTCAAATACTACCCTGATTTCTATTACAGAAACAGCTTTCCAAAACAGTTCTATGATCTAGTGCTGTTTTAAGAAATGTTACATGTGTAAAGAATTTGGGGCAGTTAATTTTGAAGTTTTAATGATGTAATTTTTATGAGTATTGATAAAAAGAATATACTTTGGAGATCATGTAAAGTTTTAATTGGGAACTGTAAATAGAGATAACTTCTTGGAATTATTGGCATCCATTGACTGACAATTTGAAAGGTTAAAAGGAAGTGAGTGACACGAAAGTTCTGTTGCAGATAAGAATCCTGTAATAGCACACTTAACTACTAAATGGCATCCATTGACTGACAATTTGAAAGGTTAAAAGGAAGTGAGTGACACGAAAGTTCTGTTGCAGATAAAAAGAATCCTGTAATAGCACACTTATCTACTAAATTATTGCAGTTTCTTTGAAATTTATTTCTTTTGGTTTGCAAATAGCACGACTCTTCCTTTTGATCCTATTCCTCTTACAACTTTTTTCATTGAGACATTCTACATCCATCTCTTAATCTTATCCTTAAAGTCCCATCAGTGAGATTTTTGGCATATACTTATTATAATGGACATTACTTAGATCAAAAGTTAATTTGATCCTGAGAATTCTGATCAATCTTCCTGCAAGTGCTGCAAACCACAGTTCTTAAATTAACAAATAAAAAGATGAAGCTCCAAAACACCAGTAGGTTAAAATTTCTTGAGAATTTGAGTGGGTTTCTGAACACGAGAGAAAAATGGCAGTTCTGGGAGAAGATCTACACACTACATTCAAGCCCAATATATGAGAAAATGCAAATAAAAGCTAAGTTATCTAGTGGCTTCTTGTAGACAAAATAATTTTTGGCTATACAGAGAACAGGTATTAGAAAGACAAGAAAACCATCCCCTGATTTCCAATGAAAAACTTTTCAGAGACACTATGTTGTTTATGTTAATCCAAGAATGTGGGATCTAGTGGGTGAAAAACTGACTTAGGAGTCAAAATACCAACTTCTGTGACTTGATTGGTGCCTGTTTGCATGAGACCCGGTTTCCTATATATGCAATCCTTATTTTGTCTAGGAAAATACTTTGAAACTCAGGATGACATGGTAATAGTGATTAAAAAAATCAAGAAACTAATAGAAACTGAGCAGGAAGAACACACATGCTAGTTTTGAAGAAGTTGTTACTGATAGTATTTTGGAATGAAGGGAAGTTTAGAAAGGAAGAGTGAACTCACCTTCTTCTGAAGAGGAGTGAATTCTATAGAATAGGATTTGTATTAGTTTTAAAGGTAAACCTTGTATTCAGACAAATCATTGTATTCACCCACTTGGTGCCAGGTTTTCATGAGCATTTTGGAAAATGAGTTTAACAGCCTTAACATTTATAAACACAGTGAATTAATACAGGAGATCAGAAACCAATTCTGAATTAAAAAGCTTATTCTGGATTTGTGCAATAAATACTTCCATTAGAAATCAAGTTCTCGGATTCAACCAGGAAATTCAACCAGGAAAAGAAGCTGAAACAACCCTGAGTGACCTTTGACCAACAAAGGATATCTTCAATTTTATTTGTTAAATATTTGCAACTGATTACTTTGGCAAAGTCTGATGACTAGAATTTATTCAGTGGCTAAATTCAACTACTGAAAAACATTAAATGCTTTGTAGAGACTTTGTGAAAAGAAAGCAGCTAAAATTTAAAATCAACATTTTACTATGAATGATTCACTCTGTTACAGTCCATAGACGTCACCCCACTTGAAAAGATATATGGTTTAAAAGGCATAGGGACGCAAAAGATATAAGGCATAAAAGGCTTAATAAGGAAAAAGGGAAGATTCTGCCAGGCTTAGCACTAAAGCTAGACCTTACAACAAAATTAAAAGGGTGGAAAGTGTGTCAGGGGAAGAATAAATAGTATATACTCCATTGGCCAACAGTCTCCTGAGAACCATTAATAGCTGATTTGGGCCACAGCAAGTTCCCATATCCTGAAAAATCCTGTTTCTTTTTTAGGATGGGAGAAAATAAAAACAGTAAATCATACACATCCTTCCTGAATTCTCCTTCCCAATCCCCTGGTGCTGCTCAGAGGAGTTCTGCCATAGCAGAGGCTCTAGGACAAGTTTCGTGCCAACACTAAGAAGCATTTAAACCTTTTCGCTTTCTCTGCTGATGCTCTGTTCATTTCCTTGTGCTTACTTTTTCACCTTCATCCTTTGGTAATGATGATGATGGAGACAGACTGTAATTAAAGAATAACTGGCAAGACAAAGTAGTCCTTTTGGAAGCAACAGCCTTACAAATGGTTCTTCACCTGTTTGGGGAAGAGACATCTTTTTTCCATTTTCCTATCATAATACACATTATGAGCCAGCCCCATGTCAGCACAGCAGTCTTAACTGTTACAAAACCTCTTAATCAGATTTTAGAAGTGTGGAAGAAGTGAGCGCTTCTGTTTCCCAGGTCGCCTTCATTTTGGGAGTAATTTTTCTTGCATGGACTCGAACTACCTTCTTTTGAACCCTGAAAATTAAACAAAGCAAGTAAACAAAATCAAAACAAATGGAAAATTTAATTTCTTTAACCTTCAAAATATTATAATATGCCAATACGTTGTATTGGTATTTGGAAAAAAAATATTTTGTCTGTTGAGATGAGTACAAGAGGAATATATATGAGCAAGTACTTGAGTACCTTCCAATAACAGTATCTTGATAGTTCTGTCTCAAGCACTGACTATGTTCTGACAGAAATACATTTTTGCTTGACTACTGTTATGCGTATTTAAAGAAAATACGAAGACTGAGTTTTTGCCTTAGCAGCTACTAAATGTGTTGTTTCTTCTGTTTTTTTCCCTTTTCCCTTCATTTTTGCTTGACTACTGTTATGTGTATTTAAAGAAAATACGAAGACTGAGTTTTTGCCTTAGCAGCTACTCTTTTTCTTTTTCCCTTTTCCCTTTTCCCTTTTCCCTTTTCCCTTTTCCCTTTTCCCTTTTCCCTTTTCCCTTTTCCCTTTTCCCTTTTCCCTTTTCCCTTTTCCCTTTCTGGAAAGTAAATATGAAATGTTTTGGTGATCTTCCTTCCCTTGAGCATTTTCTTCCAAGTAATCTAAGAATCATTTTCCTCCAGACATTTTTCTTAAAAGTTTCCATATAAAACCAAGTGAGCTGAAAGAAAAACTATACCTTATACATGAAGAGAGCGGTGGACTTACAGATGAGCAGATTACAGCACTAAGAAGGTAATCTTTGGGGCTCAATTGTTCTTTTTTAATATATGCTACCTTTTGAAGAAGGCATAATCTTCTGCAAATAATGTGAAGTTCAGGAAAGGTGCTACTGAGTCATTGGATCTAATCTGACTGTGAATAGAATATTAGGGTTGCACACAGAAATGTCAGTCCCCATAACTGAGATTTTAGAGTACACCCCCAAAATGTCGCTTTTTCCTCGTGTTGTGTAGGAAAGGGGATTGCAAGAAATGACAGCAAACCTGACGTGATTTTGTGAACGTTACAAGGAGCAGAGTTAGCAAAGGAATACGTTGTGGCAGTTAGCAGATGTAACTTGATGAGAAAACTTTTACAACATCTCTTACTACAGCTTTACTGTCTATTGTGGGATCGGAAATGAAAGATTTAAAACTGGTTTGGAGAGGAGGAAGGCAGACAAGTGTTAAAGGAGCTTTGAGGGATGATGCGATATTAAGAGTATCAGTATTTCTGAGTGGCAGAGATTTGTGGGTTTAAAGCAGAATGCAAATTTCCATATCTTAAAAAAAATTGAGTTACTATATTGAGAAAAACAGATTTCAGGAGTGTAAGCAAACTATTGGCATGTGAAATTGTAGGAACGGGATTGTATCTCTTTGAATGGTTTAAAACGTAGAAAGAAAGGAGCGGGATCCTAGAGTAGTATATGTTATACATCCCAGTTCCCATGTGATACTTGGGTCATTTTATTAAACATTCATATGAAAACTTGATGTAAAACTGTTTCTTGCTTCAAAATGAGAAAAAAAATTGAGTGTTTTGCTGAAGTGAGCTTGGAAAAAGATGACGCTGGCAAAGAAATTGTGGAAGTAAATACCTGAGGTTTCTACTTCTTGTATAATGAGTTTAATTTTGGCCTGAAAATTCTTAAAATTGGTACATCAACAGTAATTTTAAAGCCTGCAGAATCATGTCTGTGCTTAGAAAGTGATGTGAACATGAAGAACAGGACGTGTAACACGTGGAATTAATGTCATTCTGTGAGATGGCTCGTGCACAGCTTGCCTGAAGTATGAAGGGACACGGACAAGACACTGAATATTTGAATGTTTTGTATGTACCAGTGTTCTGGGGGAAGTTTCCATACTGCCTCAGCGCTTTACCTGTTACACCCCACACTGGTGCACAGCAAATTATGAGCTGGAGAAAGGGGTACAGCCCCACTGAAAGCAACGGAGCCGCGTTCCCTTTCAAAAGCTGACCTTCAAGGCTTCATTCCAGAAAAGAAAGATCTCACTGCAGTTCTAATTGCAGGGATGGAATTGCTCAGGCGATAATTGCAGTGAAATCTCTTTGACATCAAGAGTGCTCTCCAGTTACACTGGTGGCCGTCTCTGGAGAAACAAGCGCTGGAGCTGGCGGAAGGAAGGGAAGGTCTGCAGCCCAGCAGAGCGCTTGGGCTCTGGCCAGCCCCGATGACGAGCGCAGCCGCTGCTCACACCTCGGTCTGAAGGAAAACACTCAACACACTCTGTTGTTCAAGCCCTAATACAGCACTGCAGATTCAGTCCAGATCTCCACGCTGTTGAAATTGGTGTAACGCCACTGAGATCACTGATTTATAGCATCTGGGCTCTTTGCCATCAGATAATAATAAAAAATAATAATAATAATAGCAATGAAGCTTGAAAGGTTTTATTTTTTCCTGGAAGACTTCAGAGTCTTCCTTTGATAGCAATAATGCTGACGCAATTTTCCTAGCAATGGAATGTGTAAGAGAGATTGGATGCTGTATTGCTATATGCTATATAGGATCAAGGATTCTGTTCCAGAGATTCTTATTTATTGCCAAAATCTAGGAATGCATGTACAAACCTTGTAATGAATGAAAGGAAGCTAATTTTTCTCACCCCAACAGTTTTAAAATGGTTACTGAAGTAGATGAGGTGCGTTTGAGAATTGAAAGTTGGATTTCCCAGGCAGTTCCGTGTCTCAGGGCTCCCGTTCAGACATCGCATCAAAGGAGCAGACGCGTGTCTTGAAACATCAGCGCTCAGAAGCTTCTCTCGTACAATTCGCTGCAGGGGACTCGGCAGGGTACAAGTAGCCGGACACTTTTGAAGACCTTTTCACTTGATTTAGGTGCCATGGTGGAAAATTTTACTATTGAGAACCCTTGGCCCCCAGTTAATCGAGAACTGTGGCTACAACAGCAGTTTAAACAGGATAGTCAGGGTCTGGAAAATGCCTCTCTCTGCAAATTATACCTGTCATACTGTCGAAGTCTGAGCAGGAAGTCTACATTCTGCTCTTGCAGAATGAAAAATATTTAAAGCCAAGCCAAAGTTTACATTTTCAAGACTGTGACTGCGAGCAAAAGGTTCTGCTTGTGTATCCCGTGAAGGTTAGTGGAGGGGGTGGAATATTATTAGCAACTTCAGGACTTATTTTGATATGAAAACCTTTCTATAGGTCTCTGAATGATTCTTTATTCTGATGTCTTAAAATCAATAGCAAAGCACTCTTTTTCTCTGTAAACTTAATTTTTCAGAACAGTGGGAGAGTTTTCATTGCACAAATTCCATTAGAGTTGCATTCATGTAAAAAGATATTTATGGAATGCATTCATATATTCTTGTGTTTCCTTTTCCACAGCTTCCATTGTTTAATGCTTTAAACTTTAAATCTTCTAGATAATCTCCTAGTTTCATTTCATGTACATAATACATTAAAACAATTTGATGGGGTATCAAACTTCTGATTAACTGAAGATATTTGCTGTCAGCTTTAAAAAAAGTTCTTTGAATTTGTTTAAAAAGTCAAACTATCTTTTAATGATAAATAAAACCCCTTTCATTTGCCAGCAGATAACTGTTATTTTTCAGTGAGAATACTTTTTTTTTTAATGATGAAGGGCAATGAATGGAATATTTTGTAATCTGCTTTAATATAGATTTAATAATTCAAAACTCAGCCGTTATTCAATTGAAAGGTCATATTAAATTCTTGACAAAAGTAAAAAAACCCACACCTTACTGTTTGTCCTGTATTTAACAGGCTAAAATCTTTGCTTTATTTTTTTCCATCTTTGAATAGATTTCCCTACTTTTAATGAAAATGTATATCTATCCCCATGAATGTTTAATCACACTTTCTACAAATTCAGTAGGTTGTTTGCAGAGAAAGAAGATAGTAGACCTGAATACTTATTTAAGATTCTTAGCACTCCTTATATGTTAGCTATAACATCGATTTCATTTTTCTTAAGATACGCTATGAATTCCCATAGCTAACAGTCGGACAGGCAGGCAGATCTCCAGAGGAGGGGAACTTTGGTGGTGTGTTTATTTTGCCAAGCGGAGGAATGTTTAAAGATGCCAGTTTTCTAAAATCCGCAGCTCTGAAGTACTGTGGGAGAATATTCCGTTACCTTATGCAGAAGGAAAGAAGTTGTGGGTCTGTGTTAACCTGCTATCGTGACAAAACCGAGAAATGGATCTTGGCTGTGATGCAGCGCTTAGAGAGGCGGAAATGCCATTGCCCACTCTTGTTTCACGGGCTATTAAAAAAGTTTTAGAGGTAGGAGTCGGTCAGACCGTGGGACCCACTGGTTAATCACACCGTAGCATGAGTCTGCTCCGCTTTTGTGCTAATTTTTCAAAAATGTTATTGCTGGAGACAAGCAGAGCCAGCACGCCCATAACTGCTCAAAAAGTGTATATTGTTTCTAGGTGCTTTGGAAATTATGGCCTTAACTCCTTCGTTGTGTGCTTTTACCTCTTCCAAAATTGCCCATGCCATTGTAAATTGTCTGTAGATCTGCAGGTGAACACTCACGACAGTTATTTTAAAGCCTTTATATACATAAGCATTTCCAGATATGCAGATGTTATCTACAGATCATTTTTGCTTTCCATCGCATAGTTGGCTCACAAGTCTATAAAGTTCCAATGGTTAACGAATAAATATGCAATATATAAAACACACTAAACAGCAAGAAATTCCGATGCATGGAATGGAATGATTGTTTTACGTTACAACAATGTAGAATGAAGAGGAAGAGGACATCTACTTTTCATTTGCATGTTTTACAGATATATGCCAACACCAAAGGACGCAGAAAGGTACCAGTCATTCAGGGGGTCTCCCTCAGAGCTGCATGTGGTTGATCAGTTCATGTTAGAGGTAAGAAGGTACAGCGTTAGAAGATACCACATGCTATTTCTAGGACACTCTCTTCTAGATTAAAACACTATTGTTTGGAACTTAAATTTACAGTCTCAGCCAGAATCAATATAGGAGAATTTATCTGATGAAGAGTTGAGACAGGTACATATTACGAAGAGAACTCTATGGCTCCCTTTGCATCTCCAGGTCCCACCCCTTCCCCTTCCTCCAAATAAATCAGTAGGAGCTGATTTATTCTGAGCTAGATTTCCAAAATCTATAAGTGTAAAATTGTATGCATTTAACCATTCTTCACAAGAAATTAGTGTCAATTTTGATAATCTCTGGTCCTATGAGCATGCAGTGTCTTCTTGAATTTGCATATGCAAATGATACATATTCAGGTATGTGCCATAGTGTATCTACAGACTTAAGGCCTGGAATAAAATTAATAAATGAGCACAGAAATTAGGAAAAGTATAGTGCAGCTGAATGACTCAGTAAATTATGAAAGATATGTGCATGTTTTGGTATAAGGATGGGTTTTGAACCCTTTTCTGTCCAATTCTATGCAGATGTGTAAAATCCCCCACTTAGGCCAGAGGCTGGATCTCCTGCTTACCATACGTGAGCTCCCTGTGAGCATGAGGGATTTGGAGCCTGTAAGTAACATGAGTCCTTCTTAGTGTGTTTGTAATCAAAATCTACCAGTTAGTGTGTAGAGGGCCAAGTGGCCTCAATGCAGGTTTCAAAGCTGTTTAGTTGGGGAGGTTTTGCTTTTTTTTTTTTT